AAACTCCCAGTGTGCTCCCATCCCATATGCAAGCTATACCAGCAGCAATCAATCTCTGATTATCAATAAACTGGAAAAAAGAGCCAAAAATAACAACAGTACCTATGGTGGTTAATGTAACTGTTTCAAGTGGTGTGCGATAATCTCCTTTTTGAATAACCTGCTTTTCGCGTTGCCTTTCAACCTGAAAATCATGTTAGAGCAATAGCAAATAAAAGAAAATTTAGAAAGAATGAAAACATAATCGACAACAGTTATATTAAAAAATACCTTTATACAACACAATAAAGGCTTATAAAAGCCCTGGACGATGTGCAGGATTTCATTAAGATCATGCAAGAAAGTAAAATCTGACGGGCAAGACAACGCAACTTAGCGCGTGCTGCCCACGAGAAAACGTTTAAACAACCGTTCAGATGAACACTGAAAAAATGGCCCAAATACATCAAACAGGTGGTGTATGCTAACTGGATGTAAGCAGTCCAAGATCGAAAGGCCTGGCGTAGCTGAGGCCGGCTTATGAGAGAGTCCTAGTAATATCACTAATATGGGATACCCACACTGACAGTCCAGGCAGTCCTGGTATTTTCGGTAATAACAAGTCTATTTATTCGTTTGAACGCCCATACAGAATTATGTGGATAAGAGAACAGAAAGGAATGAAGAAATGGAGAAGGAAGAAATTTAAAAGGACACTGTGAATCGAGAAAATGGTAATATGATAAATTTCAACAATATTCTTTCCATAATTCAATTCAAGCTGCACGAACAGGCAAAACATTAACATGCAGGTGGCGTAGACACATCAGTACAGGCCAATCTCTTCATGCAGCTAAATTTTGTTTGGAAAAATTAATGACGGAAGACGGAAAAGGGAGCTCCTTTGGGGATAATAAAAATTTAAAACGTTATCTTACACTATTACCTGTATCCATCGGTAATTATAGACGAAGAAATGTGTTCCATGGCCAGGAAGAAAAGTGAAATCGGTTAGTGTGCGGCCACTTTCCGCTTGACTAACAAATGTATGAACAGAAATTTGTCGTGTTTGACGCTTGCTGTGACGATTGATATAATTCAGCAGCCATGGATATGCGCTACAATGAAATTTACTGTATTTAATCATTTCGCCCCTTCTCACAGTCCCTCTTCGGGGGAGCAAAGAAACTCGCGATGAACCTTAGTAAAGCAGTAACCACTCAATGACAAGTCTGAAAACAAAGGAAGTCCTTAAAAGATATGACGGAACCATCCAATTAAGAGAAAAAAGTGC